AGATTTTAGGAGTTCCTACGCAGCGCAAGTCTGTTTCAAAATGGTGCCACGTCCCCTCTGACGCCCACAAGCCACAAGCTGTGGCCACAGTTTTCATGCTATTATGAAAATTTTAATTGATATGTATTTGTTTCGTCAATACCTATCGATTGACCTAATAAAAGTTTGCCACGCCCACTCTAACGCCCAAAAACCCATTAAACTCTTGAGCCTGGTTAGCGCCTACATTTCCGCCTTTCATGGCCCGTGGTACCAATGTCTTGGGGTAGATGGCGCAATACAATAGCATATTTATATTAAGTTGTTTAGCTGAGTAACGGGTATCTAATAGTCGAGGCACTCGACTATAGCGTTCTCTCTTGTTTTTGCTTGCACTGTATCTACATTACGAGCTCTCTCGGTATTTCTGTCTCCCTACTAAATCGAAAGTTCTAAGCGTCGGTTTCTGCGCTCTTGCGGTACTTACCTGTTTCACCAAAAAAAAGCCTGATAATTAGGGCTGACTAGTCTAACTTGATATTAATGTTGATATTAATTGGTTCATGCGACAAACTAAAGGCGGCTTGAAGGGGCTAACGATCTTCTCTCTGTTCTGGAGGTCTCTCTTCAAAAAACTAACTTCTAACCTCCTTCCTTCCTATTATAATGCAAGAGCTTAGAAGCAAGCTTACCACATTTTCTTCTAAAAAATTTTTCCTTTACATCTAATTTTATAGTTTTAACTTAAACCTTGCTAAAGTAGGTGATCCTAATCTCGGAAGTTCTCCCAGGTAAATACACAATATATAGGTATGACCGTCTTTCCAGAAAGGGGAGCTGGAGTCTAAATTGTCGTGGACCCAAACCTAAATTCAGAGGAGGTATTTTTTGAGAAATTCAATAATATTAAAATTATTTGCGAAAAGTTATGTTTTCTGATAACTTTATATAAACTCTAAACTTTCTGATTATCATGTCTGTTTCAAATATGCTTTTCGATAGGGATGAGGTTGTAGTTCTAGGAGATTTGAATATACCTGGGAGTTACGTGGTCAAAGGTGGATCTTACTACCTACACCTACTTCAGTTTTGAATTCCTGTGTTCCCTGGAACATTGCCTATGTCAAGAGTTGACAGACTTAGGTTATGTAAGGTCCATTTTTATAAGAAATACTGTTTCCCAATCAGGCAATATCCGATTTATTCGCCCAATTTTTTCAAACTACCTACTCTTACTCCATATCCACGTCGAACCTCATATTCTGTCTTACTTTAAGCAAATTTTCTCTCCTTTTAGATCTACTTCGTGTTAAGCCTGTTTACTTGCCCGGGCCCGATGGTGTTCCTGGATGCGTGCATAGGCATTGTGCTGAAGCCCTGTTCAAGGCTCTTCACAAATTATTCACCTTATCACTGAAAACTTGCCAATTCCTTCATATTTGAAAGGAATCATTTGTAATTTGTCTTCAACGACTACAGAGGTATAACAAAGTTGCCCGCTTAGCTTTTTAAAAAAATTATTCCTCCTCATTCGCAGCAGCTTTGTAGATCAATTTGTTTTTTGGGTCAACACAGATGTATTAAACCTAGATCCACAACCACTAACCTTTTGTAGCTCTCTTCATTAGTGATAAAGGGTTTCAAAAGTAGTTTTCAAAGAGACTTAATTTACTCTGACTTTAGTAAAGCATTTGACTTAGTAACTTCTTTATTTCTTCTTTGGAATCTGGACCTGTTTCCAGTTGATTCCCTTATATGAATCTTAAGTTATCTGAATGGCAGATCACTAAGGGTCCTTTTTAAAATGTTCTTTGATAAGTTTTTCCTGTTACTTACGGTGTCTTACAAGAAAGCCATCCGCTTTCTTTTAGATTATGTATTAACAACCTTCTCTCAGTTATAAGTCATTCTCGCTCGAATCGAATGTGGCAAAGGAACTGACGGTTAGTCCCAAAGCCGACCAATGCCATTATATCAGAGCTATTGCGTATACTATAGCGCAAAAACCAGAAATTTAAAAAGGAAATATCAGAATATGGTGCGCTCAACGAGCCTAAGAAATGTCGGTTTTCGAATCCAGGTTTTACCATCTTTCGCATAGATGCCGAACATTAAAGACATACGGCATCTGGCACAGTTGGCTTTTTTTTATACCCGTTACTCGTAGAGTAAAAGGGTATATTGTATTCGTGCAAAAGTATGTATCAGGTAGAAGGAAGCGTTTCCGACCCTATAAAGTATATATATTCTTGTTCAGGATCACTAGCCGAGTCGATCTAGCCATGTCCGTCTGTCCATCTGCCTGTCTGTCCTTCTGTCTGTCTGTCCGTATGAACGCTGAGATCTCGAAAACTATAATAGCTAGAAGATTGGCATTTTGCATGTAGATTTTAGGAGTTCCTACGCAGGGCAAGTTTGTTTCAAAATGGTGCCACGCCCCTTCTGACGCCCACAAGCCACAAGCTGTGGCCACAGTTTTGATGCTATTATGAAAATTTTAATTGATATGTATTTGTTTCGTCAATACCTATCGATTGGCCTAATAAAAGTTTGCCACGCCCACTCTAACGCCCAAAAACCCATTAAACGCTTAAGCCTGGCTAGCGCCTACATTTCTACATGGGGTAGATGGCGCAATACAATAGCGCCACCTAACGGATGACTTTGGAACAGCTGGCCAAGGTGCTCAACAGAGTCAACGTTAATTCTCGATAAGGATTTCTATTAAAGGATATTGCGATGGTTTTCATTTGTCAATACCGAACTATATCCCTAGAACTATGAAAATCAAATCAAGTTAGCCAAATTGGAGGTCTGAGTCCAACAATGGCGTATATGTGTATGTATGTATGCATACATATGTATGTATTTACATTGTACACAGTTGCAATTGCCCGGCAATTATTATATTAAGTTGCTTAGCTGAGTAACGGGTATCTAATAGTCGAGGCACTCGACTATAGCGTTCTCATTTGTTTTTAAATTCCTGTGTTCCGTGGAAAGAAGAGTTGACAACCTTTTTAGGAAATTTAAAATACCGGTCCTCAATCTGTTTTTCTAGATATTTAAGTGCTCGGTCAAGACTAACCGTGCTTAATGGTCAGTTTTATAATTGTTACTTAAACCGTTGTAAGGTCCAGTTCTCTCACGACCCGAAACAGTTTTATAACTTCGTTAACACCAAGCGTAAATCTTAGTCTTATACTTCCTCGCTTCGTTTAAAAACATGACGGCAACCACTGACATGACGGCAATAGCCGATTTATTTGCCCAATTTTTTGAAACTACTTGTTCTACACCATATCCAAGTCGAACCTCATATTCTGTCCCACATTAACAAAAGCTCTCTTCTTTTGGATCTTCTTCATGTTAAGCCTGTTTATTCGCCAGGGCCCGATGGTATTCCTGGGTGCGTGTATTGCGCTAAGGCACTGTGCAAACCTCTTCACAAGTTGTTTTAGAAACTTCCCGATTTCTACATTTTTTTTTTTTTGATTTGAAAGGAATTATTTGTTATTCCTCTTTAAAGAAAAGGTAACAAGTTAGAGGCCAGTAACTATAGAGATAAGTTGTCAGCTATTCCTAAGCTTTTTAAAAAAATTATTACTTCTCCTTTGCAACACTTTTGTTTCTCCGTGTCAACGTAGATCCACAAATCTCTAACCTTTTGGAATGGAGTCTATGATCATGCAGAAGGGAATAAATCGTTCTTCGGTACTCTGTACCTTTCTGCCCACTATTGGCTTCCGAGATTTAGGGTATAGTACTGTTATTACGCTGCTCACGGAGCGTAAGTGTTATTTATATTTTGAATATCTTTTGTCTCATTTAATTGAGTCATTCACTTAAATACCTTAAAGGGTAATCCATTTTTCAGCTGTATTTCGTACAACTAAGCGCAATTGCATATGGGTGCCTATTAGCGACAAAAACACATCCGACCTGCTTAACTAAATAATTAAGTTCAAACACAGATTTTTTTTGTATTATGCCTTACTATTTATTTATTGAATCTTCTCCTTTCGGATACTAACAATAAGTGTAACAAATCCTATGGTATTCTAACTAACAGTCTGGTACTGACTTATGGGTCCCTGAGAATTATTGCTGCGAGTTGATTTCGAGATGATTTTGGGTGCACAGAGAGTTTTTCTTTGTGGGTCTTTTTTTGTCTATGGATGTTTTGGTTGCGAATATACCATGGTGCCCCAGTGATTGTCCTTAGGATTTTTTATTTTGAGCGCTGTATGATGTCAATGTGGCTGCCGCTCGCTTGATCGAGCGTTTAATCCATTTTTCATTTAATTTCATTATTTTCATTTCAAACACAGATAACTTAATATATTTTTCCACAGCTTAAAATGCACACTCTCATACTCATTCGTCAAAAAACAATAAAATATTATCGATTGCTTACAGTTATTTTTTTTTTGAGGTGCATTGTTTATGAACGCATCATGAAATCGATTTTTCATTTACATTCTCCAATGTTAGTTATACAATCAAAAGAAAGATAATTAATTAAAGTTAACAAAAAAAAGTTTTAGATGAACTACCTCCTTTTTGTATACATATATTATGGTCAGCGTATAAATAAATTTTTTATCAAATCTGAAAACACAATAATTCACCATTAAGAGATTTGATAAAAATATCTTTTGCAAGTGAGGGTATTTCAAAGTATTTTTCTTAAGTAACGCTGTTTACTAGGCAGTGTCTTTGTTTTTTTTTATTTTTTAACTCATCTTGTCGAAAAAATGTAGTCTTTAATATGTAATCTTGAAGAGCGGACAAGAAAATTAATTAAGCGACTTATAAACTGCAAAATGTTTAAATCTATAGCCATCACAGATAACTTTGTTTAAATAATTCAACGTCTGACCTGAGCTTAAGATTGTAGTACTTTTCCCCAAAGAGGAATTCCAATTGCCCGTACGGCACATATTTGGGCCCAATAGTCCTCCCTTTGTGCTTTATACATATTTTTAACATATGTTTAATTTTTATTTTACATTTTTAAGATACGAATGAATGTGTGGAAAGGAATCCTTGTGGCAACCATCAACGTTGCATTAACACAAATGGGAATTTCCGCTGTGAAAGCCTTCTTCAGTGCTCGCCCGGATACAAATCAAGAGCAGACGGGAAATTATGCATAGGTACGTGACAATTTCCATTATGAAAAAGAGTAGAACGGAAAAACCAACGGCTAAGTTCGCATAGGTACGTGCCGCTAAAAACGTTAATCCCTCAAGGAGTTTCTAGGAAATTTTTATAGATGGTCGATGGTGCTCTGTGGGATTATTCATTTGCTTAAATTTTTTATAATATTAATTTTCTCTATCCTGATACTTGTTTTTAAAAAGCTAGTATGTTCAAGTAATTTACAGTTTTCTTGTAAATCTAGTATACATAATTGTGCAAAAATCCATATCAATTATATTGGCTTAGGGTAAGAAGTCCACATGATTTCGTTAAAGGAAATGAAGTACTTAAGACACACCCGGATGAAGATTTAATATAGGATGATCCTCCTTGGGCCAAGGCTTCTATAAAAGCTTCAAGCTACAAGGCTTCTTAAAGCTGATTTAAGAGCATGCAGCCGTGAAGTACCCATCCCAGCAGGATATCCACAAGATACAATGCATAAATTACAAATACACCGTGTTGGAAAAATCATATATGCTTCTGATTAGCTACGTACCTAGGTAAAAAAACAATATGTTAGACAGTAACCGACCTTTATAGGGCACTCGGTAGTGACACATGTATACTCTAGCAGAGCGTATTATTATTTTAGTCAAAAGTTTGCAACGCAGTGAAGGACAAAATTCCGACCCACAAAATTTTTTTATACTGGATCAGTATCACCATGTCGATCTAGCCATGTCCGTCTGTCTATCCGTTTTGACAAAAAATAGTCCCTTAATTTTAAAGCTATTTGGATAAAAAAGGGCGGTCAGCCTCTTTATCACATAGCTCAAAATAAAGTAATAATTCATTGAACTTTTCTACACATAGTCATGATATTTTTCATGAATAACCAAAATTTGTTATCTGGACTGTACTCAAAGTTCGAAAAGTTGTGCGAGTTGGAATACTTTCTACATAATCACATAACGGTTACTGCTCTTATGTTTATATTTGCTCTGCTATCAGGTAAAATTGCTGACCTTCATTTCTGGGGACCTATCGGTGTTTCAGTGCTTTTTAACCATTAGGACCATTTATGCTTTAAATTAGCTAACCTAGTACTCAGATCGACAAACGAGTATGCTAGCGTAAAAACTTTAATCTTTTCAGTGTGACCAAAATTTCGAGAGTTCATCAGATTTAAGCGTGCTACGGTCGTACTGCCAATCAGCTGGGTTTGTTGACAAAGCCTAGTATCCAGATCGACAAACGATTACGCTAGCGTAAAAACTTTAATATTTCCAGTGTGACCAAAATTTTGAGAGTTAATCAGATTTAAGCGTGCTACGGTCGTACTGTCAATCAGCTGGGTTTGTTGACAAGCAGTTAAAATTCAAATATCGTATTTGCGGGAAAGAGCCTTTAAAATATGTTATCAAATACCTTTGCAAGACAAGTCTGCCGCTGTACAAAGAAATTAAAAAACAAAACAATTTAAATTTAACAGTTGTTTTTTTAATTTACTCATATTTATTTGCTAATTTAAAGTTCATAGCTGCACTTTTATTGTGTTTTTTCGTACATTTTTGACCTAAAAAACATTTTGCTTCGACAAGAGGCACCGCAGATAGTATTAATGTTATTTTGTCCTCATATGTAAACTCCTGCAATCGACTTCTGCGAGTTTTTTGAGTTTTTTCCCTCCATTTCTTATAATGCTCAGTGAGAAGCGCACGCCACAAGATTACATTTTTTAATCTTTTCGCTAGGGTTCACCAAAAGTTCATTTCCGCAGACTGGCAACGCTATGAAATTTTCTGGTATTTTTTCGTCCATCTGAGGACCGAGGTGAAAAAAACCCTTGACGAAAAGTGAACGCCAGCTGTTTGCCTCTCGCTCTCTCTCATGACTGGCGGACAGTTTTTGTCGATCTGAGTACTAGGCTTTACAGTATACCGTTAGGTTGCCGCCTAGTACTTTAAGTTAGCGATTTCATTAAAAATAGTTTTTTTAAATTTTAGTTTTGGTATTTTTGTTATAAATATAGTTAAGTAGCCCGATAAAGGTATTGTCTGCTTTCGGATTGATAAATTAAAAAAATGTAGAAAATAAATAAAGAATTGTCTAGCAAGCAGAAGCTATCAAAACAAGAGCAAAAGTAATCAAGCTCTTTAAATAATTTTAAGAATAGCCTAAACTTAGACAATTGTGGTAGCAAACTGATAATTAAGGTAATGCTAAGTTTGCGAGTGATATGTGTTTATCCCAAATGGCAACCAATTAGCGTTGGAGTCCAAAAGGTTTCGTTTTGTATGGTTTGGTCATGAACTGTCTACAGGTTTGTCTAAGCAACTAGCACTTATGGTTTAAAGTTTGTGAATATGATCCACGGCGACTGTCTCTGATGATTGCGATCGAAGATGAGAAACAATCTTAACAGTTTTAGTTAGTACAAATATGCTTAAGTTAAGTTAAAAAGGTTGAAAGGGGAAATTAAATTGGTACATGCGATGGTTTGCGTCAGTTATTACTTTGCGGTGTCGGCAGATTGCTAACGTTGGCTGACTGACGGTCTGGTTGCCTGACTATCTTGGCGGTAAGTGTTGTTATATTTTATATCTTGTTTACTTTTGTGCCTAACATAATAAATGAATTATGTAAGTCGATGCGTTCAAGCATTTTCCCGACCGTTGAACATTTGATAAGCTATTGCCAACTTATTAATTACAAATTGGCTGGAGTTGGAGCCGAAAGGTCTGAAACGGTGTCTTCCCTCGTGAAGATAGATACCTTTCGGGATTTCCATAATATATATATTTTCAAGCGGTGTATTTAATATAAATCGGTAGCCTGACACAAAACTGGGGTTTAACCTTATGGTGGTAATGCTGAGGTTGGCACACCCAAATCTAACACGGATATCAGTAAGTACGTTTGCAATTTCCGTTTGTCAATTGAGCTATCAGTATACAAATTATGATTTGAATGTGTTATCACGCGCTGTCCCTCGCAATTGCCACCGTGGCTGGTTGTTCTTATGAGCGAGCCGGGCGGTTGCCACTGGCTCTCTTCTCTCTTCTTTTAGGAAGACTATGTCGGGAGTAACTGACTCCGTTGCTAACGGCCCTTAAGGCACGATAACCAATTTCAATTAATAAGGTAAATGCGGACGGCCAATGCCGGAGTTTTATTTTCAAGCAAATGCTCTTTATTGAATATCGAAATTAAAACTGAAAACATATATGACTTTACGTAAGCTATGCGCGGCCGGCAGGCCGACCGCTCGTGCAGCAAAGTGCTGACACTAGCAAAATCAACATAACTCACCATACCGTGCACCAATAGGAACAAGGCTCGGCCCCTAAAGGCGTTTATGCTGATTTTGCAACTAAACACTAGGGTGTTCCTATAATCACCCAAGATCTGTATCGACTTATGAATACTCCTTAACAGTGCTAACATGCATGCTTGCATTCATGAAGTCTTGTTAGTCTTGTTTCTACGTGTCCAACACAATCAATAGATTTCTGCGTTTTATATATGTTGGAAATGTTTGTGTGTTGCTGAATTTTGGGCACACCTGGGAGGGTGATTTTTGATTCGAATATTGCTATGTTATTTTTTTAAGTCGTAGTATATTAATGTCCATTCTGAAACTACCATCCGTTTCCAAAATGCGCATTGAATATTCCTGAATGATTTGCGATCCACGTATCGTTTGTGCTTTGTGGATATTTCCGGAATAAATAGTTTGGTACGCTGCGTGGTATGCTCATAGGTATCCACTGCTTGCTCAATGTAAGATTTCGTTCGTTTTTTACCGCATCTACCCTCTCGCTTCCGCTTTACTATCTATAAGACATACAATGTTCTCCTGATTGGATCATAGATTGTTTCGAACAGTTGGATCAGCATTCAATATCACTTACATATCATAGTCGTACTCTTCAGTTCTTGAGCCCAATTCTTGTTGCGACTTCCCGTTACCTTTTTAGGGATGATGAGTGTTCAAAAAGTGGTAGAAATTTGTCATCTTGTTCTAGCGTGGCGTTTTCCTCGGAGTGATTTTCAGCTATTTCGACTCCAGATCACGTCACGTACATGTTTGTTATTTTCTTTATTTCTGATGCTAAACCATTGATAAAGAGTCTTTCAACCCTATTGTCCCGGCGATAATTTTAACTTTGACATTTTTGATTTTTAGGACGCACAATTTATCAATCACTAAAAAACAATACATTTTACTCGTATTATAAAATTCTGACGTTTCATTTTTACCTTATAGATATTGATGAGTGCGATACTGGTGAGCACAACTGTGGCGAAAGACAAATATGCCGTAATCGCAACGGTGGCTATGTATGCACCTGTCCGATAGGTCATGAGATAAAGCGTCTAAGCACTGGTGTTAGTACATGTGTGGACACCAACGAATGCGAGCTGGATCAACGTGTTTGTCCGTCAAATGCACAGTGCTTTAATACCATAGGATCTTACTATTGTGAATGCAAAGCTGGATTTAAAAAAAAAAATGATAATAATAACAACACACAATGCTTTGATATCGATGAGTGCCATGTGGTTCCGGGTCTTTGCCAACAGAAGTGTATTAATACATGGGGCGGATATCGATGTACATGTGAACACGGATACGAACTAGGACAGGACAACCGCACATGTAATGATATAAATGAATGTGAAGTTCATAAGGACTACAAGCTATGCATGGGGTATGTATCTGACCAATCGTTTTGAAGCATGTGATAATCAATATTATCAAATCTAAGATTCTGTATTAACACTGATGGATCCTACCAGTGTTCTTGCCCTCGTGGTTATTTGTTGTCTGCTGACCGGAATACTTGCCGCGATATCGATGAATGTGCCACTGATTCCATAAATCAAGTGTGTACTGGCCGGGTATGTATTTCACTGGGAATTCTATTTTGTAATTTTAAGGGCTTAAGATCTTATAAACTGTTATACAGAATGGTCTTCTGTCGGTCGGCTTCTTATTAAATCTATAAGATCTTGAAATAACTATTTCCAACATATTTTCTATATGTTGAGTGAACATATAGAAATAGGCGATATCAGACCCAATATAAAACAAGAAAGGAAAGCTAACTTCGGGCGGAGCCGAAGTTGATATACCCTTGCAGAATACTCTGTATATAATATTCTCCAAAATTATTCATATGATGCCTTCTTAATACTTATAAAATATCCCAACTTCCTAACTTTAAGAACACCAAAGTTATGGCATTTCCGATCGTTCAGTTATATGGCAGCTATAGGATATAGTCGGCCGATCCTTATGAAATTTGATAGGTCGGATTGATTGGCCAAAAATAAAAGCCATAGAAAATCCCAACTTCCTAACTTAACAAACACCAAAGTTATGGCATTTCCGATCAATCAGTTATATGGCAGCTATAGGATATAGTCGGCCGATCCTTATGAAATTTGGTAGGTCGGATTGATTGGCCAAATATAAAACCCATAGGAAATTCCAGCTTCCTAACTTTTTAAACACCAAAGTTATAGTATATCCGATCAATCAGTTATATGGCAGCTATAGGATATAGTCGGCCGATCCTTATGAAATTTGGTAGGTCGGACTGATTGGCCAAATATAAAAGCCATAGAAAATCCCAGCTTCCTAACTTTACAAACACCAAAATTATGGCATTTCCGATCAATCAGTTATATGGCAGCTATAGGATATAGCCGGCCGATCCCGTTCTGAAATATATACTGCGTGCAAAGGAAAGAAGGGTGTGTGCAAAGTTTGAACTCGATAGCTTTAAAACTGAGAGACTAGTTTGCGTAGAAACAGACAGACGGACAGACGGACATGGCTATATCAACTCAGGAGGTGATCCTGATCAAGAATATATATACTTTATAGGGTCGGAGATGTCTCCTTCACTGCGTTGCACACTTTTGAACAAAATTATAATACCCTCTGCAAGGGTATAAAAAAACACTTAATAAAAAAGCATAGTTTTTTAAGAGCAAAAATTATATTTGATTCACAGATTTACTAGGGTGGTCCGATAAGTACTTAGCCTCCAAAAGAAAAACGAAAATTTTGGAAAAGAGGCGATTTATTTCTCAACATAATCTCCTTATAGCTCGATACACTTGACACAGCGATGCTCCAACTTCTTTAACCCGTCTGAAAAATACGTTTTCTCGAGGTCTGCAAAATAGGCCTCTGTGGCGGCGACGACTTCCTCATTCGACGCAAATTTCTGTCCAGCGAGTGACTTCTTCAAGTTTGGAACAACTATCTCGCGTATCTTCAATCGGCGGTCTGCCAATACGAGATCGTGGATTTTGTCACGTTATCCTCCGTGGTAGCCGTTTTCGGGGCATCTGGGCGTGGCTCATCAAAAACCGACGTGCGACCACGTTGAAACTCGTTAAACCAATTTTTGATGGTCGCCATCGAAGGAGCAGAGTCACCGTACACAGCACCCAAGCGCCCTTTGATTTCTCTGCGCGATTTCCCTTCAAAAAACAAGAATCGAATCACAGACCGATATTGCTCTTTCTCCATTTTTCTAAAATCCGCGGACACGTCCGATTCCACACGCAGTCAAAACAAAACTACGAGTCCGATTCGGCTGAAATTTCGACAGTAGCCGTCTACGAGAATGTACTACACGATAGTAAATTTCTCTTGCGATAGTGACGCCATCGGGCGGTGAGGATAAGTACTTATCGGACTGCCCTCGTAAGTAGAGCATTGAAAACCCATGCTGGTAAATTAAGAATGGCAAAATGGACATTTCTGTCAAATTAATTTTTTCTATTGTTGGTGTTGCAAATGATAACTTTTTGTGAGTGATAAACTAGTTGGGCTATACCAATAGCAAAGATTATAATAAATTAGTCAGAAGTGGTAAGCGAGCTGCCTAAAGGGATCTACAATGGTTTTAAGAAGTCAAGGCTAAGCAATCTTCTCGAAGATCTAATCAGGGTCTCCCTCCAGCTTACCTCAAGCTATGGTGTAGTTATTGGTCGCGATTACTTTGGTAGTGAATAGATTTGTACGATTTTTTTCCGCAAAATAATTTGAAAATCTAATACTTTGTTGAACAAGAAGATACATGTATTTCTTTACCTCGAAATTATGAGCTGGTAAATTAGTAAAGCACGTTTATAAACAGATAAAAAGAAATATTTTCATTATTTTCAAAATTGTGTTTCTGTCTTCGATTACTTCACTGGGCGCCCAAGTAATTGTAAGTGCTCGGTAGCAATCAGATGCAAAACATTGCAAACGTAATATCAATAAACTAATTTAATACAGCTTCAGATCGACCACCCAATTCCAAGTTGAGAAGAAATGGAGCAATGTTTACCGGGTGTTATTGAAGCAATAAGCTTACGCATACGGCTCCAAGCTAAAAGACCAGTTAGCCTTTTTTTTATAGATTGTTGAACACGCCACACAAGGATTTACCTTGTTTTCGTGTATTGACAAATTATTTTTAAAGATCCCCAAAAAATCGGGTAGCGGGTGCTCCATTCTTGGGCAATTCAGGTGTGGTCATAGCAGGTCATAAGTTAATCAGGATGTGTTGTTATAGAAGACGACCGTGTCTGTCACGGCCGAGAATCCATAAGTCTGCCGGGTGTCGTCTGCGGAGACGCCGTCGACCCAGTGTTATGTCTTGCCAGACAGTTTGCATGTGTGAGCAAACGTTCCCGGTATCGACTTGAGGATTTACAAATCGTCTCCGTTACCGTCGGCACTCCCGTGTCCTGGAACATAACTCGGTTTTCTACATAATGGTGCCACTTCACCCCTAGCATCCTCCTGAGAGCCTTTGCAATGCACGTTTGCTGATCCACAAACTCGATCAATTTGTCCCTTCCAACAAAGGCGACGGTCTAAGGTAACTCCGAGGTACGTCACCTTATCTTCGTGCTTGAGCCTATTCCCATCAATGTAAAGGCTACGCGAACGGCCAGGACATGCTGCGTTTTGTAAACATTAAGCGCAATGTTACATCGAGAGGAACAGCACTCAAATTCGTCCAAGAATGTCTGGACACGTGGGGACGCAGACGTAGTGGTGCTACCAGCTGCAAGAAATGCAGTGTCATCTGCATATGTGGCCAGGAGAGTACCACGAGCAGCTGGACCAAGGACGCTTCCCTGCGGGACACCAGCACGAATTGAGCGAAGTCCAAAACGGTGTCCACGAATATCTACAGCAAACTCCCTATTTTCTAAGAACGATACAGTGAGATTCCAGAGTCTTTCAGGCAAAAGCGGCATTAGCTTGTAGAACAGTCCTTCGTGCCAAACCCTGTCAAAGGCCTGTCGATCATCGAGAAAAACGGATGAGCAGTATTTGTGGTCTTCGAAAGCCCCCAGAACATGGTTAATTACTCTGTGCACTTGCTCGATAGCACTATGGCGACAACGGAAACCAAACTGGTGGTTTGGAAATGAATTTTCAAATGCGTTAATAGCTAGAAGTCTACCAATCATGATCTGCTCAAAAATCTTGGAGAAAGTGGAAAGCAAACTAATCGGCCTATAAGATTCCGGGCAACATGGGTCTTTTCCGTTTTTTGCCACCATTGTGACTAATGCTCGTTTCCAAGGTGATAAAAAAAAAGCCAAGGTCCAGGCAAGCATTAAAGAGGAGACAGAGGATGTACAATGACAAAGCTAGGCAGAGCCTTTGCTACTTTGCCATCAATCGCGTCCATGCCAGGAGCTTTAGTAGTAACCAGTCGCTTTATATGACCACGTACCTCATCTTCGTCTACTGGACGAACAGTAACAGGAGGGACAAATGAAAGTCCTAACCTAGAGATTGTTGTCTGGACTTCATCGCTTGTTGCAAATTCAAATGGAGTAAAGCGAGTTTCAAGATCATCAGCAAATACTTCAGCAATCTCGGAATCACTGTGGACCCAAGTCCCATCACCACGTTTAAGGGAAAACCTCTGAAACGGGTCTCTTTTAAGGTTGCGGGTGCATTTCCAGAGCGCAAATCCGTGGTTCTGGTTAGGTCAATTGCACTGAGCTTGTCCATAAAAAATTCTGACTTGGCCGAACGGAGGACTTTCCTTAGCTCTGATACAGTAGCCTTCCACCTTGCCATATCGATGGTATGCCTCGTCCTCATCCAGACACGGCGAAGTGCATTACCGTTTCTGGCCAAGGCAGCAATTTCTGGCTTTGAATAAGCCCAAGATGGAGGAGGAATAGGTATACTTCTAGGAGGAGGGGCAGCTTGATGGATCTGTTCAACTAAGACCTCAGAAAGAAGAGAAGGTTGTTCCTGAGTCAGAGCAGTAAGTTGCGCACTGAATCTTTTTAAATCCGACCCCGGGGAAGAAGCCTGGATTTGGTGACGATCGTATAGGCAGCCACGCAAAAATATATCTGGAGCGGAATATGATCAGAGGAAAGTCCCGGGCACTCTAAGATTGTAAGGTGGTTGCTCGGGATGCCTTTGTACACTGCAAAATCAATGGCCGTCGAGAGGTGGTCAATGATCCAAGGAAAATGAGTGGGTCCGCCAATAGCCAAAATCTGCATATTTGAGTCAGCAATAACTGACATGTTTCCCCAAGTGCATGATCGCCTGCACCCCAGAAACTGTGGTGCGCATTGCAATCCCCTCCAATGAGAAAGCGGCTACCTACAGAGCCAAACAGACGCAAATATTCCTCTGCCAAACCCAGTGACCAAACTTATGGCAACTGCTTGCAGGTGAGGCTCCGACATTGTGGCACTTAGGTGATAATCCAAACAGGATTTGATGATGACAGCAGCACCACCACGATGTCGATCATCAGGGTGGTTGGCAGAGTGAACAGCATATCCATTAATGTGGTAGAATGACCGGCTGGTAAAATGTGTCTCTGAGATCAATAAAATGTCAATGTTGCGTTCCTGGAGGAGGTGCTCAATCTCGAGTGATTTGCCAACTAAGTTTTTGGCGTTCCAAATAACGATATTTATACTGATTGGCGTGCTTAGAAATCACGCTCTATAACATTTCTAGGGTGGTCGTCATTACTGACATCATTTGATCATTTGATCGAATGCTTCCTTAATCCATTAATAAATTCCAGAAGCCTGTCCTGAGTAGGTTGTTCAATCAAAGAGGTCTTTTCACTTGGATGTAAATTAGCCGATGGCGAAGTCTGACTTGAGGATGCAGAAAGACGCGTAGTAAGCCAAGCATTTTGAGCCGGGGGCATGGCAGGCTTAAAAGTACGTTTTTAAGTGGGTCTACGCTCTACAGAACCAGTGGGCTTACGTCTTTCAATAGCCTCTAAATAGGCAGGACATCGACGGGAAGACGCACTATGATTAGAACCACAGTTAATGCACTTGAGTTGTTCCTCATTTATGGCCAAGCACCTCTCCTTGTCTTTTGTCTCATGGTCACCAGCATATCTGGCACACTTTGGCAAGAGTGAGAAAAATTTTTAGAATGTCCAAATTCTTGACATCGGAAACACCTTAAAGGACCCTTTCTCTGAAGCTGCGGTTCCACTTTAACCACCTGGTAGTCAATTATCTGGATATCATATACATTTTTGTTGTTTTTAGCTGGTTCCAGTTCAACAAAGAATATATCCCGGTTCGCCTTCCCATTTTCACCAGGGGGGTTGAATACATTCAGACAATCCACGACCAAGTTTAGAGGTGATTGATTCATTATTATTAATGGAAGTCATTGTATCATCACCATCATCATCATCGTCAGACAAAATAGCAAAGCATTGTTCTATCCTAAGTAGGTAGAGTCTTCTTGACTTGAAGAATGTGATTGTATGGTCATGCTAGAGGCTGCAGCTTGAGGACGTTTATGGTCGCCAACAGGGTTTGGCAGCGATGATTTATTTATATTACTACCTCCGAGTATGTCAAGATTACGTATTTTCCTTAGGTTATTTACCTGAGTAAAGCGTTCTTTATCGGCAGCATTCTTACTAATCCACTTGGGGGTAAAAATAGTCATAGTCGGGACAGGTGAGGTGTCTGAATAAATGGAATCATCAAACTCATCAGAAGTATCAGAGAGGCACCTATTGGCATCAAAGGCAGTCGCCTTGGCATTCCTAGAGGCATTCATAACAGCTACTTTAGCAGCTTCGTCTGTATTGACTGGTAGTCGCGTAACTTGGTCCTTAGCAAAGACCGAGTGCTTAGCTACATGAGAGTCCTGATTGGTTTCACGACAACCTTTCGTCGAGATGGCTTGAAATTGGAAGACATCTTTTTTGGGAACTACACCAGCATCTGACATTGTACTTGCGTAAAGAAGAAAAGAAAATAAAGAAAAACAAAGTTTACCAAGCAGCCGGCCTGCCAACCGAAGGCAAGGCCGGCAAATGTTTTCTTAAGAAACTCAAAAGAAAAATCGTAGACACAAAAAACCAAAATGTTGTAAAATTTTTTTTTTTTTTTTTAATATGGGAGCTCTGAAATAAACACAACCGTTTAGTCTGACACATTAGTCGAGACGGAGAATATTCTGTAAATTATATTCTCCCAAATTATTCATATGATGCATTCTTAATACTCATAAAAAATCCCAACTTCCTAACTTTAAAAACACCAAAGTTATGGCATTTCCAATCGTTCAGTTATATGGCAGCTATAGAATATAGTCGGCCGATCCTTATGAAATTTGGTATTAATTAATTGGCCAAAAATAAAGCCCATAGAAAATCCCAACTTCCTAACTTAACAAACACCAAAGTTTCGGCTTTAAGATATAGTCGGCCGATCCCGGCCGTTCCGACATACATATATACTGCGTGCAAAGGAAAGAAGGCTGTGTGCAAAGTTTCAATTCGATATCTTTAAAACTGAGAGACTAGTTCGCGTAGAAACAGACAGACGGACAGACGGGCATGGCTATATCAACTCAGGAGGTGATGCTGATCAAGAATATATATACTTTATAGGGTCGGAGATGTGTCCTTCACTGCGTTGCACACTTTTGACCAAAATTATAATACCCTCTGCAAGGGTATAAAAAAGAATACATGGAACAGTCCAGAATGAAAAGAATGTAAGCAGCGCAATTGGGAACAGGCCATTCAGTGGGCTTACGGTGTTATTAACATATTTAAATATAGTTTTTTAAAAATGTTTTTTCTTCCGAGGGTAACACAATTTAGATGACAGTTAGTGGTGGTCTTAGAACGAATTCTTCGCCAATACCCGCCAGGACACTAGCATTCTTAGACATTCTAGGCTTGCCACCATGATGTATTTTTATTGAAATCCGGAAGGAATAGGAATGTCTTAAGGACAATAGCGCCAAGCCATAAGATTTCCTTCAAAAGTTTTCGGTTTTCCTCGTTCATGGTCAGAATGATTTTTAAGACCTAAGGAGACTTTTTAATAAATAAAAGAAAAACAAGAGAGAACGCTATAGTCGAGTGCCTCGACTATTAGATACCCGTTACTCAGCTAAACAACTTTATATAAATATGCTATTGTATTGCGCCATCTACCCCAAGACATTGGTACCACTGGCCATGAAAGGCGGAAATGTAGGCGCTAACCAGGCTTAAGAGTTTAATGGGTTTTTGGGCGTTAGAGTGGGCGTGGCAAACTTTTATTAGGTCAATCGATAGGTATTGACGAAACAAATACATATCAATTAAAATTTTCATAATAGCATGAAAACTGTGGCCACAGCTTGTGGCTTGTGGGCGTCAGAGGGGACGTGGCACCATTTTGAAACAGACTTGCGCTGCGTAGGAACTCCTAAAATCTACATGCAAAATGCCAATCTTCTAGCTTTTATAGTTTCCGAGATCTCAGCGTTCATACGGACAGACAGACAGACAGACAGACGGACAGACGGACATGGCTAGATCCACTCGGCTAGAGTGTACTTATATATATACTTTATTCTTATCGTGCACAAACTTGCCAATAAATGCAACAATCTCCAGCTGTACGCAAACTTTTGAAAGCATGTTATTTTATAAGGTTTTGGGGAAATACAAATTATAAGGGTACCAAAGAAGATACACATTTTTTAAAATATAGAATGTGAAGGTAATTGCTGGGACTATCCGTAACAAAAATCATAATTTTTTTATATCACGTCTAGCCCAAGATTTTTCCTATCAAAGTGACAAATTAAAAATTATTTGGCCTGTACGCAGAGATATGACGCTGAGTGTATAAACTTACCATGGTAAACTTCCTTTCATATTTAATTTTCGTTATTTTTAGAATGACATTTGCACAAACACCCGAGGAAGCTATAAATGTACTACCATTAATTGCCCATATGGATACACTAATGATCAAGAGCAAAAAAAGTAAGTGATAATGAACATTATTTAAAGTTGAAATTAATAATGAGTCTAAGTCATTTTTTTTGAATATGCTTGCCAGCTGTGGCTTGGATTTTGCAAGTTTTTCCTTATTTTGTTTTTTACGATTTTTACTATAATTTTTTTTGCACGAAATTTTTTGTACCATTCATGCTTATTCTCGACCTAGTGGGGATAAAAAGCACAGTTACCCAACCGACCGAGGGGCTTAGCCGTGTATCATACGGCACGATTCGCAAAAAGATAGACGCGAGATAAGAAAATATAAAAAAAGTAACAGTAAGATTAATTTAGTGCCAATGAAGCTAGTATTAATCGTTTTAGGAGCGGCAGAGAGTCAAGATTTGAGATTATCGGAAAAAGAACATAATACTCTGAGAGGCTAATGCAAGGCATAGTTAGATCTAAAATGATTTAATATTAGGGAAATATAATTTTTAGTTAATCTACTTGGCACAGAAAGGGCAGTCAATATCACCATGTATAAGGTTATAAATAAAGATAGTACCAAGCATCCTTCTACGGTTACCTAGGGAGGGAAAATTAATCAACAGAAGTCTACTAGAATAAGCAGGTAAGTTAAGATTTGCATCCCAGTTTAGGCGCCGTAAAGCAAAAAGAAGAATTCAATACGACCAATATGTATTCCATGGACTCCAGACGGGAGACCCATACTCTAGAATCAAACGGACTAGCGAAATAAATAAAGTTTTAGTGACATAAGGATCATCGAATTCTTTTGACCACCTCTTAATAAATCCAAGCACTCCTCTGGCTCTATTAACCATAGACGAAATGTGATTAGAAAATTTTAATTTAGGGTCCAAGAGAACGCCAAGATCGTTTACAAGAGTTATTCTATCCAAAGAGCTGCCTCTTATTGTGTAAGTCGCGTATAAAGAATTGACCCCATAAAAAGTCATCAGCTGACACTTGGAACCGTTTTAATTTAGTAAATTATCTCGGCACCAGTTTTGAAAATTATCTAGATCGGATTGCAAGTCTAAAAGGCAGGAAATGTCCTTATAATGCAGGCACAACTTAACATAATTTACGTACATAAGTACGAGAATGACTTATAATTGCGGAAAGATAATAATAAAAATAATAATAAAAGTTAATAAATAATGTAAAAAGTAGCGGACCCAAATGGCTCCCTTGTGGGACACCGGAGGTTATACGGAGAATTTTAGAAATTTAATTTTTAAAAAGGAACCTTTGTGACCTGCCATTAAGATAACTTGAGATCCATCTAAGAAGATCACCTGTAGAACCTAACAGGTCAATTTTATGAACAAGAAGTAAGTGATTTACTTTACTAAAGTCAGTGTAAATGGAGTCTGTTTGAAAACTACTATTAAAGTACTTTATCACAGATGTAGTAAGCTTCAGAAGGTTACTGATTGTGGATCTAAGTTTAATAAGTCCGTGTTGACACGGAGAAATAAATAATCTGCAAAGATGCAGCAAATGAGGAGTAATGATTTTTTCAAAAAGCTTAGGAATAGCTGAAAACTTTTATATACCTCAGTTACTGGCTTCTAACTTGTTACCTTTTTTGTAAAGAGGAATAACAAATGATTCCTTCCAAATATTTGGGAATTGGGAAGTTTCTAGAGATAAGGTAAACAACTTTTGAAGAGGTTTGCACAGGGCCTTAGCGCAACACCTAAGCACGCACCCAGGAATACCATCGGGCCCTGGCGAATAAACAGGCTTAAATACGAAGAAGATCCAAAAAAGAGAACTTTATGTTAAAGTGGGACAGAATATGAGGTTTGACTTGAATATGGTGTAAGAATAAGGCTAAGATGAATAATCTAAAGTAGAGTATGTCGTTTGAAAAAATTGGGCAAATAAATTGGCTATTGCCTGTTTTCGAACGACAGCGAGGAAGGATATGAATTAAGAAGAAGAAGATTTACGCTTGGTGTTCACGAAGTAATAAAACTGTTTTGGGTCGTGAGAGAACTGGACTTTACAACGGTTTAAGTAACTATTATAACACTGAGCATTAAGCATGGTAAATCTTGACCGAGCACTTAAATATCTAGTAAAAACAGATTGAGAACAGGTGTTTTTATATTTCCTAAAAAGTCTTGCTAAACCAAGGTGATTTATTGGAAATTGACGGATAGTACCACGGATCACAGAAATTAAAAAAATTGTTTATTGCAGTGTTAAAAACATTAACTGCTCAGATGTATTATTGCATAAGTAAAGATCATATTATTTAAAGCCAGAAATGAAATTATTTAGCCTCAGAAAGTCTGCCTTGCGAAAACATTGCATTCGTTTTGATGATTTTTCTTCTATAACTCTACCTATGTGAAATGTAAGTTCGATTGTAGGGTGATATCGATCTCCTGGTTGCGTGAGTGGTGCTACTCTTGACAGAAACACACCTTCAGGATTTGATACAAAACACAAATCAAGACCTAGTGAATTTCGAAAATGGTTTACTTGAGATAAGGATACGTCAGGCAGGCCGTCAATAAAATCATGCTGTGCTATAGGTAGTAAGACATTCGATCCATCCTTAGTGGACCAAATAACTCCAGGTATATTAAAATCACCTAGAACTTACCACTGATCCCAATCAGAAAGCTTATTTGCAACAGACTTAATAACGGAAAGGTGATTTAAATAATCAGGAAGTTTAGACAACGGCGGAATATATGAGCAAGTTATGTATATAGAGCTACAAGGAAGCGATAACTTTACACAAATAAATTCAATGGTATTGAATTACTCAAAAAATAACTCCTCTGACGGGAGGTTTGAATCAACTCCAATTAAGACTCCACCTCCCCGTCTAGAGGGACGGTCATACCTATATATTGGGTACTTGCCTGGAAAAACTTCGGAGCTAAAGATCGCCGGCTTTAACCAGGTTTCTGTAAACATAATAAGATGAGATGCAAAGGAAAGGCTATCAGAATACAATTTAGTGAGCTTGCTACGCCAGCCTCTTCCATTCTGATAGGAAAGAAGGAGGCTAGAAGTTAGTTTTTTGAAATTGGTATACTGGTTTGTCCTCGACTAGGAAGTTTTACTCCCTTCTTCTTTATCTTAGCCTCTTTTACAACCATATTATCTGGCCAAAAGTCGCCTTTACATTATTACAATTGGCTTTAGTTTTGTCTTGTATATAAGGCAATACACCAGAAGATGTTTGATCAGGGGAAAGCCGAGAAGCCTTAGGGGACTCTTCTAACAGCTATTAAACTATTAAACTGCGAATCCCGATCCTCCAGAGAGGAGATCATCAGCTCGGCGAAAACTATCTCTAACAACTCCGAAAAAGCTAATCAGCCCCATCAAGCCGCCGAACGATTTCATCTCGTTCGCAACCTCCACACAAGCATCACAACAGAACAGCAAATTGGGCACCATTGAAAGGTCATAAATTGTCCGGCCAGTGAAACCGGCTCACTTGGTGTGCTCCATGTTTTCACACAGCCAGCAAGTCATATTAGATTGGTCAGCCCTAATTACGAGGCTTCATTTTTTGCAGAAGCAGACTAAGTTTTTTTTACTCATTTACCTATCGGAATTTATAAGCGAGCAGTTATAAGTACCGCATGAGCGCCGAAACTGCACGTTTAGAACTTTCAAAACAAAGATAGCGGGAGCGTAATTTAATGCAAAAACAACACTAAAAACAGCACTACGACTTATGACGAACAACGCACAAAAGAGAAACGGTGGGGTTACAAGAAAAGAAAACATAGAACAGAATTACGAAATTAAAACAATATTTAGGTATTATTACAAAAGTGCAGAAAGATTAATAGTTCACTCGCGAAGCTAACGGAATTTAAATGTATGTTTAAATAACTAAAAGAAAAGAACAATGGTTTTTATACAACCCACCGATGGGATTAAATGAAACAAAAATACAAAATCACTTTGAAAGTGAAAGTAATTTAGTAATTGTTAACTACTGTAACGACTCTGTTTAGTGAGACGGTGTAGCTAGTCCAAAACGGGTGTTCGCTAGCTTAAATATTGCCACAATCTACTAGGCTATTTAAATTAAGTTTGAACAGAAACTTTATGTGTTAAATAAAAATATTAACTTTCATTAAGGAATTATATGTCGCGACGACACAGGGTATTGTCTTATATTGTCGCCATATGCAAACTTTTTCAGATCTGATTAATCTTTTACTTTTTTATTTCACATTGTTTCTAAACAGCTATATTTGAGCAAGTCAGTTAAACAAAAATCGTAATTAAAAAAAAACTTTATAAAGAAGAAAATAATTTTGTTGTTCCCCGCTTTTCTTCTTTATATTTTTGGATTACAAATTTAAACGGTGTTTTAGAGCAGGTTGGGGTGACTATTGTTATCATATTGCCTTCAAACGATTGTCATGGAAAGTGGTGGTTTAGAAAACACCTAGGGCAAAATGATTTTGGCTAGTTTTAAGTTGTATGATAGGAATTGTTCGTTAATCTATAAGCCAAAATCATTCTTTGTCATAATCAGCAATTTAATGACGCTTTTAGATTTGTCATTTTATAATATTGAGCAGGTTTGAGAGTAAAGCGTTGAGATTTTTTATATTATCACTCCAATCACGTTTTCATATTAATTGTTATTTCTGGTATTTTAAATTTTGTTAGTGCTGCATATTAGGGTAGGGGTGGTAAGTTCTTGCACTTATTGCCCGGAAGTACAGAAAAAAGCATTACAGCATCACGACAAAATTACAACGATTTCGTCTTTTGCGGCCCAATCGAAGGTGACAACAAAGTTACTACGAAGTTGAAGAATACAGGGATATACAGGCGACGATATAAGCTTACCTTAAAATAATTAATGTTGAGGAGAAAAGTGAGCTTCTAATATCTAAACAATTTTGTGAATTATTATTTTTTTTTTTTTCCGCGGAATCGTTAATAAATACTGTTAAAACAAGAATGGAAAGCTAACTTCGGGCGGAGCCGAAGTTGATATACCCTTGCAGAATATTCTGTACATTATATTCTCCAATATTATTCATATGATGCATTTTTAATACTCATTAAAAATTCCCAACTTCCTAACTTTAAAACCACCAAAGTTATGGCATTTCCAATCGTTCAGTTATATGGCAGCTATAGGATATAGTCGGCCGATCCTTATCAAATTTGGTATTAATTAATTGGCCAAAAATAAAGCCCATAGAAAATCCCAACTTCCTAACTTAACAAACACCAAAGTTTCGGCTATAAGATATAGTCGGCCGATCCCGGCCGTTCCGACATACATATATACTGCGTGCAAAGGAAAGAAGGCTGTGTGCAAAGTTTCAATTCGATATCTTTAAAACTGAGAGACTAGTTCGCGTAGAAACAGACAGACGGACAGACGGACATGCTTATATCAACTCAGGACGCGGTCATGATCAAGAATATATATACTTTTTAGAGTCGGAGATGTCTCCTTCACTGCGTTGCACACTTTTGACCAAAATTATAATACCCTCTACAAGGGTATAAAAACGGACCAAGATTGCTGCCTTGCGGGTCACCGGAAATAACACGGAGAATATTAGAAATATAATGAAATTCAGATAACTTTAAATTCATTTAAGGAGATCAACTGGATACCCTAACAGGTCAAGATTCTGGACAAGAATTAAGTGATTTCCAGAGTCAAATGATTTACTAAAGTCAATGTAAATGACATCTGTTTGAACACTACTTTTAAAGCCCTTTATTACCAATGAAGTGAGCTCCAAATGGTAAGTGGTTGTGGATCTACGTTTTAAAAATCCGTGTTGACATGGAGATATAATTGAACTACAAAGGTGCTGCAAATGAAGAGTAATCATTTTTTCAAAAAGTTAGGGAATAGCTGGCAGTAACCAGCTTCTAACTTGTTACCTTTCATGTGGAGAGGAATTACAAATGATTAACTCCAAATTTTAAATTGGGAAGTTTCCAGAGACAAGTTAATTATTTGTGAAGGGATTTGCACAGGGCTTGAGGGAAATACCTAACAACGCACCCAGAAATTTGTCATAAGGCCCTGGCGAATAAACAGGCTTAACACGAAGAAGATACAAAAGAAGAGAGTTTTCAGTTGAAGTGGGACAAAATACAAGGTTCGTTCGATTTAGATATGGTATAAGAATAAGGCTGTAATAAATAATCTCGAGTAAAGTAAGTTCTTTAAAAAAATTGCGCATAAAAATCAGCAATTGCCTTATATGTGGTTTCATATCATATTTTCAAACGACAGTGAGGAATAATAAGAATTAAATTTACGCTTGGTGTTAACAAAGTTATACAACTATTCCGGGGCTGCGTGAACTAGACTTTACAATGGTTTGAGTAATTATTATAACACTTAGCATTAAAGCCTAGTACTCAGATCGACAAACGAGTACGCTAGCGTAAAAACTTTAATCTTTCCAGTGTGACCAAAATTTCGAGAGTTCATCAGAATAAAGCGTGCCACGGTCGTACTGTCAATCAGCTGGGTTGCCTCTCGCTCTCTCTCATGACTGGCGGACAGTTTTTGTCGATCTGAGCACTAGGCTTTAGTCTATAACCCAGATATCTGTGGTTTTTGTAATAGAGTTTGGTAATACTGTAGTTACTCAGAAAGTTGTGGTTGATTATAAGGTTTTAAGTAAAAAACGATTTTGTATTTTATTTTCACTTTTAAAAGGTGGTTTGCTTTTCTGAAGACGGTGATATTTGTAGGGAAGATATTTCGATATATGGTTTCGAAGTTATAGTTTTTCTTTTTTCTACGGTTCTGCAGGTCATTGCACCTTATTAAACAATGCGTTATGCTAATGGAGATTAAGAACTGTTTTGTAAGGTTCGAAGATTTGAAAGGGACAGTAAGATCATCGTTTAGTAGGACTAGTGGCGAATGATTTTGAGAATGGTGCAGGAATTGGACAATGACATTTCCTTTTCGCTTTTTTCTAAGTAAGCCCTATTGTGAATGCACAATCTTTATATGGACGATATCAATTAAAAATTTCTTGCAAATAGCGTTTGTGTTTAATACGCATTAACAGTTTATAATATCTTGTTTCACTACCTTTATTCTTATAAATAAAAGTATAATACTTTTACTTTTTTTTACAGCCGGTGCCGACAAAGCACCAACTTCTGTGAAGGAGAAGATTGTTACACAAAACCGTCAGCCTACACATATAATTTTATAACCTTCGTATCCAAGCTAATGATATCTCCTGAGGGTCGACCCATCTTTACATTGAGGGGTCCACTTTGGTATGATAACATCGATTTTGATCTCAAAATTGTCCGCATACAAGCAACCAAGAATATTCAAAAAGCTACTGATAAGAATTTTGAGTAAGTATATATATTTAAACTCACTTTTTAGAAATTTAAAATAATAAAAGTATTACATTTTTGAATTTATAGGACCTTAAAAAACAACAACCAAGTTAATGTATTACTGATGAAATCTCTAGAGGGACCACAGGACATTGAATTGGAACTTAATATGACAGTGTATACAAACGGAATGCCACGTGGAAAAAGTGTCGCGAAATTATTCCTTTTTGTATCTCAACATACATTTTAGCAATAAACTCAACCATTAAATTATCGTAAATTTTGTTATATCTTAACTTTTTTATTAAATTTCAGTAAAACGTGTTTTAAAGTCTGTTAAATGTAAAAATAAATATGTATAATTCAATATATGCGATTTGGTGATAAACAAAAATACAAATAACCTAATATGGTTTGCCGTGACTTTGAGAAAGACCCCAGTCTTTGGCAAGGGCCTTTGGTCCTTTATTAGAGTCAATTTTCTTGGAAATCTTCCGGCAGCTTACTAAGCTTTTGAAGGATTGAAGAAAAGCTTGAAAATTTAAATCCAATACGGTTTCCAAGACAACATTCTTTCTTTTTAGAGCGGAGATAAGAAGCTTTGATTTTATAAAGTGATGTTTTACAAGTTGTAAGCTAAGCATAAAAAAAAATTCTACTCTGCCGTGAGCCGAGGTCAAGGAGTAGAACGATAAAACATAGATCTTTGACCAATAGACCCTTTAGATTATCGGTACATGGAAGCCTATTCAAAAAACACAGAAAATCATCCTACAAGAATTTAGTACAGCTATAAACTTTAAATATTATTTGGTAATTTAATCATTCGATTTCAGAGTGCTTTAGCATTCATAAGAATTTTAAGTCCACACTACTATTTATTTATGTATTGATGTGATGAAAAATGTCTGCACTCCATTGTTCTTTTAAAAAGTTTATTTTGTTTCATAGTGTTAAATAGTACATTTATAAAAAAATAATGCCTGAGCTAGCAGTTCATACCGAAATTCTGATTTTGAGGGAATTTTTTTTCTTATATTTTGCAATTTTTGGGTGATATTCTATTTCATCATATAATTGATTCGATATTACATATTAGGGAAATTGTAAGGAAAACTATAGGAGAAATTGCAATATAATGAAAATATATAACCTATAAAGCTTTCGCCCTTCACAGTGAATGGTCGTGTTATTGTTTTGCGCTCCGAATTGTTCATTTTCTTGTTGAAACCACCTGGGTTACTTAAATCCTTTTTAAAGTTTCTACAACTTTAAAGGGACCCCCCGTTTCTAAAAATCGTTTTTTTTTTATTTAATTCGAATCTATAACTATTCAAGAATGTTCCGTTAAAATTTCAAGTGAATATTTCAAAAACTTTTTGAAGACATAGCAGATTTATGGTGGAAGCGTCAGGCGACGGCGAGAGCTTCTTAAAACTTTAAACGCGTTTTTCCCGAAACAGTATTTTTACGACTGGCGCATGAGGTTACTCAAAAACAAGAGAGAACGCTATAGTCGGGTGCCCCGACTATCAGATACCCGTTACTCAGGTAAAGGGAGTGCGAGGGAGATGGAGATAGAAACTTTGATCACGCATAACTTTTTAACGAATGGTCCGATTTGAAAAATTTCTTCTACATTTCGATAGGTATTGATAAACACAATAAAACTGCATTTTTACTTTTCCGAAATATTTAAATTTTTAAAATCGTATATAAGCGATTGTGGGCGTTAAAGGGGGCGTGGCACCTTTTTGAAACAAACTTGCGCTGCGTAGGAACTCCTAGAATCTGCATGCAAAATGCCAATCTTCTAGCTTTTATAGTTTCCGAGATCTCAGCGTTCATACGGACGGACAGACGGACATGGCTTTATCGACTCGGCTAGTGACCCTGATCAAGAATATATATACTTTATAGGGTCGGAAACGCTTCCTTCTACCTGTTACATACTTTTGCACGAATACAATATACCCTTTTACTCTACGAGTAACGGGTATAACTATTATTCCAATCGGTTCCAAATTTGAATACGTTATTCTATACATATATATCTATGGCATAACATAGAATAAATCAAATCGGTGAAGAACTTTTTTAATTTTCAACTTGATTTGTGGCTGAAAACAAGGCGCTTTTAAAAAAAAAATGTTACAAGGGGTGCCATTTTGTCAAATTTTGGGCGAAATGAATAATCCTAGTTCATGCCAGAGCCAAACATGTACTTTTCTTAAACTCGTTGGAATTTTTGGTTTCATATGTTCCAGTGAGCTGAAATCCCATGCTCCGCCAAAAAGAAGGGCTTTTGCTCAATGACAAAAAAAAAACAAGAAAGGAAAGCTAACTTCGGGCGGAGCCGAAGTTGGTATACCCTTACAGAATACTGTGTAAATTATATTCTCCAAAATTATTCATATGATGCATTCTTAATACTCATAAAAAATCCCAACTTCCTAACTTTAAAAACACCAAAGTTATGGCATTTCCTATCGTTCAGTTATATGGCAGCTATAGGATATAGTCGGCCGATCCTTATGAAATTTGATAAGTCGGATTAATTGGCCAAATATAAAACCCATAGGAAATCCCAACTTCCCAACTTTACCAACACCAAGGTTATAACATTTCCGATCAATCAGTTATATAGCAGCTATAGGATATAGTCGGCCGATCCTTATGAAATTTGGTATGTCGGATTGATTGGCCAAATATAATACCCATAGAGAGTCCCAACTTCCTAACTTAACAAACAGCAGAGTTATGGCATTTCCGATCAATCAGTTATATGGCAGCTATAGGATATAGTCGGCCGATCCCGGCCGTTCCGACTTATATACTGCGTGCAAAGGAAAGAAGGGTGTGTGCAAAGTTTCAATTCGATATCTTTAAAACTGAGAGACTAGTTCGCGTAAAAACAGACAGACGGACAGACAGACGGACAGACGGACATGGCTATATCAACTCAGGAGGTGATCCTGATCAAGAATATATATACTTTATAGGGTCGGAGATGTCTCCTTCACTGCGTTGCACACTTTTGACCAAAATTATAATACCCTCTGCAAGGGTATAAAAAAAGGTGTAAATTTTTTTTATTTAAGACTTCAATCAAGTGGATGCAAAGTTACAAGCCTAAAAAATAATATATGTATTTACCAGCCCATTGAAAATCATTAAAATTTGAAGTTTAGTTTCTTTAACATCTTTCCGTTCGCTTCACGAGTGCATCGTGATTAACTTGTGTTTAGAAAATAAAATGTTTCAAGCATTATTTCGGGACTGCTTTGTTGTTTCGGTTTTTCTATTGCCTCCTTTTTAAGTTCCTTCTTTTTGTCGTTGGACGTTTTTGATATATTTGAATATATCTTTGAGGAGTTGAACATCGTTGCGGAGTTGTTGGGACTGCAAAACTTAACGTTGTTAAGCGCCTGACCTGTCTATCTCGCTCAGTGTCTAATATCGGAGTTAATCGGTGTTACGCTCCCGCTCTATCTCTTTTCCTTCTAACTCGTTTCGAGGTGCCTAACATCAAAGTAAATCGGTGTTTCGCTCCCGAATGTTGTCTTTCTATTGCAGGTAGTACATAAATCGGAACGAGGCGGATCGGGCGACTATATCATATAGCTCCCATAGGAACAATCGGAAAACAAATTCAAAAAATTATAACTTTGTGGTTTTTCTTTTTTTTTTTTTTTTTTTGGGATTTGGTAATATTATGAAATTACGGTTTTTATTAAATTAAAATCGGGCAACACTATCATATAGCTGCCATAGAAACGACGTCAAAATGCAGCGCAAAATCGACATAGCTTTATTGTTTTAGTTATATAGGCATATAAATCGATATGTAGTCGTTTGTAATAACTGAAAGGGTATATAAACTTCGGCTTGCTCTTGAACTCGACTGCGAACTGCAAAAGCTGGCCTAAAGTCTCAAAGTTGCCACGTTTTACGTACATCTGGTATGCGGGGACTACTTCATTTGATCATACCCGACCTGTCGCATCAGCATTCAGATCTCGATAACATAATTTTTGAAGCCAATCGGCGAAAATAATGTAGGGGTAAGAAAAAGTCTATGAACTCTCTCGGAATACTGGCCAAGCGGCTCCCTGTAGTTGGCTGGTCGTAAACCACCGAGAGGCCCTGTCCGTAAAAGATTCAGTCATAACACTTGGTAGTTGGGCTAAGGGAAGGGCTTACGAAGTAGACCTGTCCTCCAGCTTCTCAAGGAACCCCAACGGGTCAGTATGGCCGTTGAATTTGAGCCCCCATTTTCGGACGTGCTCTGCTTCGACGCCGTGCGCTGTGGCCAGGCCATTTCGTTCTCATGTTGTAGTAGACAGCACCAGATGTACGGACCATCCAGTGTATAGAGGATTCGGAGTCGTGCACTTCTCGTTGCTCGGTACTAAGCTCGTCGGATGGGGGGGGGGGTTCTTTCCTCGTCCTCTATATGATGCACACTGTCCCACAAATAGAATCGTCAGCGAAGTCATGTATTTGAATCGGGACTTGCGGATCTGTGTGGACCAATCGCGATACCTTAATTTTTAGCAACTGCAGAAGCGTTGCTTTAAAAGTATCTCACGGATTAAGCAACTGCATTGGCAGCGACTTGTCCCAATCTAGCTTTCGAGTCCACAGCTCCTGCAATAAAATCTTTGCCCTTGTGACCAAAGGGCACAAGAGGCCAAAAGAATCGAAAAGTCGAGCAGTCACCGACAAAATATTTCGGTTTGTCGCGCGAAGATCCAGGAAAGAGTCATCCAACCGAAATTGGAAGTAATCTTTAACCGGTAACGAAACCACGCCAAGGGTCTTAGTTACGTCTGAGCCTGCCGTAAGTGGCATTACAGCGCTGTCAGATGCGGATAACTCTGGGCAGGTTGAAAACGAGTATGCCAGTTAAAATCCTGCCTCTTGCCAAACCTGAGAAACTTCGTCACGAAGGCCTTGCAGGTCCTCAATGCATCCGGCGCCAGTCAACAAATCGTAAACATAAAAATCTTTCTAAATAATCTGAGCGGCTTTTGTGGTAAGTGGCTTGCGCCATCTCTCCTAGCCGAATTAAACACCTGATCGCCAAAAAGGTTGCTGGCGAAGTTCCATATGTTACGGTATTTAACTTAAAGATTTTCATAGACTCAGAAGGATCTCGTCTCCATACAATGAGCTGAAAGTTTCGGTCAGATTCGTCCACCATTACTTGGCGATACATTTTTTTATGTCTGCCGCAAAGGCAAGCAATCTAAACCGAAGCAGTGTCGAGTACAGCTTCTCTTGAATGGTTGGGC